TCAACAGTGCTTGCCTCGTTTCAACAATCAATTAATACCTGGAGATAAATCCCACCCATTTATTTTGGGGCAATTTTATTGGTTACTTTAAGTCACGTGGTGAAAACTCACACGACAGTTATCACGCAATAACCCGCGCCTGCATCGATATTTGTCCTCCAATTGCTTCCGTCGAAGAGAAACACAGTCAACACAAGTGCTTCAAATTTTCCTTCCTTTTATTTTGTATGGAAGGAAACCAAACTCGCTTTGTTGAGTGTAGTGATAGTGACATTAAGGTTACCAAATACCTTCAGGGGTGTCTTGCGTCCAAGCGATGTAGCACATCCAGTTTAAGCTGTAGATACCTAAATGCCTATATCAAATTAAAGCTTATAGAGCTGGCTATCAAACCTCACAAAAATTTTGAAATAACACAAACTTCCGGTTTTTCACGGCCACTAAATGTGAGCGTCCTAATCACCTTTTGGTAGCTACAAGTCAAAGCGAATTTTGTTTTTCGCCAATTTATTTTTTCCTCAGTTTCAGAGCAAAAAGCGCTAAAAAAGCGTGTCTGCATTTTGCCATATTCAATTGCAGTGAAAAGTTACCGAACATTTTCAAAATAGCATTTAAAAAATGTGAGGTGATCATACAAAAATTGCTCTCGGAGAAAAATATTTCGAAACAAACAATTCGCTGACACATTTTTGTTTTTTATATGTTAATCTAGCTGCTGTCTAAATTTGAAGGCAATCAAACAAATCGCCTGAGTTGTAACTCTTTAAAGTGTCTGCTTCAAGTGAAAAAATTTATTTGAGTAAACAGCGCTAAGAAAAATCTCTTGCTTCGCAAACAGACTCTGCCCACAAACACCTTCAACTGGGTTCTCAGATCACTGAGCCAATCAGCACTTGGAAAATTTACTATCTTTAACTTGCGGTGAAATTTACGTGTTAATCTTCAAAAAACCCTTGTGTTTCACAATGTGCTCAAGGCAGAGAGAGAATTTTTCTGTAGCTCGGTTTTTCTTGAAGCTGGTCTGGCAAAATGGGGAAGACGAAAAAGGATAAGAGTGCTAGGGTGGCTGGGTGACGAGAACAAACTGAACAAAAGAAAGTGTAGTGGAGCAAATGTGCATGGATAATATTCCAATGGATCTCCATGAGTTGGACTATTCATCGGTATTGGACTCAACAAGAGTCACTGTAAACACCGCTGTTATCACTGTCGAGTTCCCAAATTTTTACAGTACCTTTCTCTTCTCTTGACTCGATCTTTTTGCCCTCTTGATATGATAGCTATAGCTTCATCCATGAGGCCAACTTTCGCTTCTGAACTCACTGATGTGTTTTCACTCATTCTTCGCTTTTTCGTGGTCCATGTTTACTTACAACTTAATAGAATTACAGCTAATATGAAAAATGCTTGGATTAACAATGCTGATTAACTGAGTAGCCAGCCAATTCGCAGTCTCCATATAGGTAATATTCCTGCAAAATTAGTCTCGGTTGATTGCATACACGTTGTAGGGCTCTCAATCAAGAGGGAACTTTTACTTCCAGCCATAACGTAAAATCTCCATTTCTCCGCCAACATTAAGTTTTTTTCAATTTTGTTTCCAAAAATTAGAGATTACTCTAAGACCATTACTTTGAATCAAAAATCCAAATTTGAAGAAAATTGCCGATCTGAAGGTATACTTTAACCTTAAATAGCTGGTCGCATATGCTGTTCCGGAAAGTATATCAAGTTTTGGAGTTTTTGATCTAAGGGGTGTTACAAGAGTTAATTTCACATGACAGCTGTCAAGTTTTGGTCCAATCACAGTGGAAATAGAGTTGGTTAAACCAATCAAACGTACTTGCTTGCTTACATCAATCACACGCATTCGCCATCAGATCACCACTGGCTTTTTTTATCATGTTTACGAGTGGTTTAATTGCAATATGAAAATTAATGGGAGGGTTATAAAATAAATAAGCCCCTTTCTGGCTTGCTGGTATGTCGGCTGATAATGTCTTCGGCTGAGAAATTGTCCTCAAAATTTCAAATTTGCTCTAGAAGCTTCACTTCTCGGACAAATATTCATTTTTCGGATAATCTCTTAGGCATGGACATTATAAGCTGACATACCAAGGACCATCATGCACTAGCACAGTTTGTCGAGACATTTAATAATCATGGACTCCCTACTGAGCATGGCTGTTCTCCACGCCATTTAGGGATTTCTGGTATTCTGCAACATCATTCTTCCAATTACTCTGCTTTAAGAGGTATTATGGATGATAGCCTGCCAGATGATTTAGCCATGTATGGGAATAACCCAGATGCACCACTACCTCAGGGGAATGAATTATCAGGAGTAGAGGTAGCTCCAATTTCACAAAATTTTCCAGAACACGTCATTATGGTGCTACAAGAATCATTCATCCAGCAGAGGGGGATGGAAACCAAGGAATTAATGTTTATTTTCAAGTCAGGCAATTCTTAGTGCTTTATTTCAGTTGTACAATTAAAACGCCATGGGCAAGAAGGTCCCCAAGATTTTTTGGCCATTTTTGAAAGTGCTCAAAAACAGCTGAATTCTGGCATGTAAGCTTTGTTTCACCTGAGAAACATACCTCTGAAATTTTTTTCACTGGGTAGCTCTTTGTTTTTGAGAAATAATGTATGCAAAAAAGGCACTTTTTCAAGCGGCATCGTTTTTTCAAACACGAAACAAAAGACCCCTTTGTTTTGCTGGACAATGAAAGTAACTAAGTGTCACATTACCCACTAGTTGTTCGAGCTGATACAAGTATTGTATTCATAAAGAAAACACCTTTTTAGTCATGTTGCTTTATTAGCACAAGCAAATATAAAGGCACTGTGCGGGCTGAGAGTGTGTATCAAGTGTGACACTGCATCAGACCCCTTTTTTTCCTGTTAATTTCTCCTCTTCTTTTTGTGCCAAAACATTCAAATAGCACGTAATGTTGATACTGCTAGTGCTAAAATAAACTCTTTAAATTCACATGGAGATCCATCTTCTATTAATAAAGTTCTGTGAATCGGAATGTACGTATCAGAAGATTTGCTCATTTATTGATGCCACTGTCGATAAACTTTTCAAGGTCTTTTTTTAAAGTGAAGTTTGAGCGTTTGAGCATGAGTGTTTTCAAAAAGCGAATTCAATGAACTGAAAATCAGCGACTGCTAGTTGTTTGAGCTGATACAAGTAATTTATTCATGAAATTAATGCCATTTAATCATGTTGCCTCCTTAGCACAAGTGGGACCTTGAAAAGTTAATTGATGCTGTCATTGATAAACTTTTCAAGGTCTTTTTTGAAAGTGAAATTTGAGCATTTGAGCGTGTAGCGTTTTCAAAAAGCAAATTCAATGACCTGAAATCAGCAACCGCTAGTTGTTCGAGTTGAGATAATTAATATCATTTTACAAAATTGATGCGCAATGTTCATGTCCTCCTTAGCACAAGCAATTAAGGGGCCTCAAATAACCAAGCACTTTGTCCTGAGGCCGGTTCAACACAACCTCAGTCCTTTTTTTCCTGTTAATGTCTCCTCTTATTTTTGAAACCAAAACAGTAAAATAGTCCTTACTATTGATGCTGCTAAAACATACCGTTTAAGTTTGCATCAAAATCCATCTTCGATTAATAAAGTTCTGGAGATTTCTAGACTGATTTCAAATGCCATCATGTGTCCATAAACTTCAATTTTTTTTAAGTTTGAGCATTTAAGCGTGTAGTGTTTTTAAAAAGCAAAATCTACAACTTGAAAAAGGCAGTGAGCCTTACACTAAACAACTAAAACTCAGACAACATGTAATTGACAATAGTCTGGAATAGTCGTTGAATCAAATCTAATAAATGCGATTTGCTTTTCTTTCTGTTTCCTTCTTTTCCCCTTTTCTTTATGTCATGAGCTTCCCTTTTGATTAGTATTTGTGCATCCAATTTTAAAAGTATTTGCTCCAGGCAAAAAGATTTTGAAGTTCTTGCAACCAGGTTGTTAAAGGGAACAAAAATACAAACAGCTGCCATGAAGTATGGCTTAGAACATGAGGATGAAGTTGCACAGTTTTATCTTCAAAATTTTGGTCGGTCTGTTTTTAAAGTTGGTTTTGTGATTAACCCAAGACTCCCTCATCTTGGTTGTAGTCTGGACAGGAGGGTACATGACCCTTCAGAGAGTTCACCTTGGGGTCTGTTTGAAATTAAATGCTCTATGGCAGAAGAGCTCAAAGATATAAAATACTTGAAAAAAAAATCCCACTACTGGAGTTTACTCCCTAAAAAAGAGCTATCAGTATTATTTTCAGGTCATGGGCTGTGTAGGGCTCACTGGTGAGGGGTGGTCTGACTTTTTTGTTCAGTGCAAGAAGGAATTTCATTATGAACGGATATATTATGGTGCTGAGTTTTTCCCAGATATGATGGAAAAACTTAATTTATTTTATTTCTGTCATTACCTGCCTACATCAGTGGCTTCAAAATGGTGAATCCTACAGCAGTCAAAATACAATGGGTGGTTGCTAGTTGTTACCACATGTTAGTTTCACATCAGACTTACAGTTGTGAAAAAATGTTATCTTCGATTAAGAATTACAAAGGGCTTGTACAACTGAAAATGGACTTGATGAGTTACATGAAACAAAATTGTTCGACAGCCTTGATGTACCTTTGTTTAAGGCTAAAGTACTTTTTAGTATACTGTAATATTTGTTGCAAAATGCCACATACAGCTTTTAACATTTTGAACAATGTTAAGAAACGCTGGATCCATAATCATTCAAAGAGTTTGACGTTTGTCATAAAGTAAATACAGTTACTATAGAAAGCACATGTCATAGTAAAAGGATAAATTAAAAATACAGCATTGTTGTCCACAGGCTAACCATGAAATTAAGTGTAACATTTTAGAAAACAATTTTTGCAACCAAGATAAAACAAGGAGCATGGTAAAGTACATTTTCTTGCTCAAGATTTTTCGTAAAATAGAGGACCATAAAAATTGGTTATGAGGCATGGCACTGTCCACAATTGATTGATACTTCCAGCCATTGAAAGTGGACCAATTTTGTCAAAAACTGAAATTCTTTAACGCGTCGTATAGCTTGTTCAACATGAACTCTCAGATTATGTATTTGCTTGCTCTTTGCTAGGTCCTTTTTAGAGAACTGACCCTTACTGCTTAGAAACGAAGGTATAGCTAACTCACACCCAATGGGGGTCAAAAGGTCCTGGATGGTAAACCCTTTATCAGCAAGGATCTGATCCCCAGGTTCCAACAAATCCAATAAACCAGACCTTTTCACAAGTTCCTTATCTGAGATGGAACCTGCAAAAAGACCACTGACATGGATGACCTCACCACTTGGGGAGATAACAATGTTCCCTTTGTATGTAGTGTGGCTTTTGTAGGACGAGTATAACTCACTGTTGAGGACTAAACTTGATGGTGCCTCTGTTTTGATTTCTGAAGCATCAATGATTCCTCGACACCCTGGGTAGATCTGTTTAAAACACTCTGGCATGTGTTTCTGGATTTTTTCCCTTGTGGGCCAAATTGGCATGGTACCAAACACAAAATACAAGAAATTTGACCAAGAAAGAATTACACGACTCACTGTTGAAATAGAAATATTAAATTTGTCAGCCAGTTATTGGTTAAATGAACCTAACCGTAATTTACGTAAAAAGAGATAGAACTGTTCAAACAAATTCAATTTGCAACTTCTAATAGCATCTCTTAATTGATCAACTTCTTCTGCTCCCTTGTTTCTTAAATGTTGCATTTGTGACCAAGAGAACATCTTTTCAGCAGTTGGTTGAAGGACTTGAAATGTGGCATAGAGGACTTGATAGGAAGGAAATCCCGTGTAAAACTTTGTAATCTCATCTGGTCTTGTGTGCAACTGTACATACAATGGATGTGCATTATGCAGAGAAATCTTATTTTCAAATTCATATACTCTTTCTTGTGCTGCCGAAAGCATGTCCTCAATGGAGGGCATTGGACCATGTGTAGTGCAAATGTAATCATGTTTGTTAATTGTTGGTGCTGGCTCAACATGAGAGGTGCTGTCACAGCACCCAGTGGCAGAATCTTCCGGGAAATGAGTTGGTACAGTTGTTACTTCCACCTCACCAGCATCTTTTGGAACTTAAAGAAAAATATTAAAATAAATTAACCCTCCATAAACCTTAATGTCTGTCTGCCCTTCAAGCTAAATCTCTTTTCAGAGATCCTGTTATAAGCTACATATTTCTTGAATAATAATTTTTTTAAATAAGTATTTATTATTGCTCAGTGACCTATGAAACTCACTGGTCACCTACCTGAGACTATAGATTCTTTAGTCCTGATGGATGACAATTTTTCTTTTGATGTGCAATGGATTCTTGCTTTCCTTTTTTTTGGAGAAGGCATTGTCCAGCGAAATACAGAAGGAACTGCACCTTTCCTCAATACGCATTTCCCTGAGAAGGTCGTTTGAAAGTCTGATGGTTTAAAATGTTCCAAGCAAACCTTGGTGCTTCTCGGAATCTGAAGGGCTATTGTAACGTTTTATTACTACAGGCAATAAAGAGTACATCAGCTACGTAGTAAAATAGCAGCTCGGCTCTACACATAATTCTAGTCAATCAAATTAAATGTAATTTTTGTAAACCTGAACAAATTGATTACAGATAAAGCTTGCTTATCATATCTTGACGTCGTAAAACACAATCACTAACCTGGAAGTTTTTGCCAACATCTCAACGAATTCTGACAATCCAACTTTTCTTCGTATATTTGTTGACTGGAAAGCGATGGAAGGTAATTCCTAACTGCCCTTTTGATCTGTTATTTGAGCACAAGGGCACACTACAATGATCTTTATTTGGCATGATTAGCTGCAAACTCACAGAGTTACCACGCATCACCTCGATTTCATGCCTAAAGTACATACGTCATATCCAATATGGCCGCCATGTGACAAGGGTGAATGACACTAAATCGTATGCTAAAGTCACAAAAGATAACTGGACATTTAGACGTCAAAAGGCAATTGAGACCAGAGATAAACTTGTAAATAGTTACTCTAGATTTTTACCACCCAACTCTCTCAAGTTCCTCC